ATATATATATATATATATATATATATATCATAAAATGAACATATATAAGTAAGACCTAATGAAAGTATATGCCAAACAAAAATTAAAAGACATAAACGAGGTTCCTTTCCATTTTTCAAAATGGCAAATTAGCCGTAATAAAACTCACCGAATAAGACCAAACAAAATCATTATAATATGCAAATAATATAGGTACATGACATGCGCTTATTCTTGTAATAAATTGGTTGATTTCATTTTCTTCGATATTAGAATGTCCGGAGATTCCCAAACTCAATAGATCTTTATCAAATACATTGGCCCCCAAATGACAAAGAGGAAAAAAACATCATGTTTTAGGATGATAACTCGATTGATTTGGACATCATTTTGTCTCCTTTTTTCAATTAAATTTGTCCAATAAAATGATTTATTATTATCTTTCAAGAAAAAATATGTTTTTTTTGGAAAATATGCGCAACACTTTTAGCATGTAATTAATGTGAGACAAATCTGAGTCTACATCAAGATGGATTTTGGGAAAATAACTTGGAATTCAGGAGAAAAAAACAATCGTTTGTTCTTATAAAATTTCATGAAATTCCGTGTCATTTTCATTTTATTTAATTAATGGTATATCAGTTAATCACACTCCGTATATCAGTTTATACATATTAGGAATCCATTCAGCATATATATGTATATATAGTAAATGTAAATCTAAAGTTTTACCATAATCCACAATATATTCCCCACCAAAACATTAAGGAACACGAGTAAACCACATTGACGAGCGCCTCTATATAATCGCATCTAACACCAAAGGTTGGTGGAAACCGCCATTAATGGCCTCTCCAAGAACCTTCATTACACGTCTATCTATATATATATATACACACATACAACACAGTTTCTCATCCATCCACATTCTCCAAGTACACACAAAAACAAAAAACAACTTTCAAATTATTTTCAAGTTGAGGGCATTTCAAAAAAAAAAAGTTTCAAAACAAGTAGTTTAGCAGTTTAGGGAAATGATGAAGATGGCACTAGGGTTTTGCAGCCTGGTGTTGAGCTTACTTGCATCGCAAGCCGAAGCTAGGGCTTTCTTCGTGTTCGGAGATTCTCTCGTAGACAATGGCAACAACGATTTCTTGGCTACCACGGCTCGTGCCGACAATTATCCATACGGCATTGACTTCCCGACTCATATGGCCACCGGCCGATTCTCCAATGGCCTTAACATCGCCGATATAATCAGTAAGTCCTCTCCTCGTTTGCTTCTTCTCCAAGAAAACCCTTTCACTAAAACCTTAGTTTTGATGAATATACGTACAGGGTTA